TGGTCTAACTAAGAAAATTAATCCGAACACCAATATCTTTAATTCAGTCGTTAACGCTGTACAGACGTTTAAAGTGTTGTTTACATGACGTCACAATGTAGCGCCAAACAGCACGTGCAAAACAATCAAATCAAGTACGCTATTTAATGTCGCAAACGAGTTAAGTTTTACAATTATTTCACTTTTATTAATTTGTATTTCGCTTGAAAAATCGTAGAGTGAAATAAAATAAACAAACAAAGTTTTATCAACGTTTTCAAAATTCGTTATTCTCAAAATGTTTTCACACACGGTAGATTAAACGACAGTTTTTCCCAACCCACTGGAACAGCCTTTAAAGAACGTTTCTAATGGAAACTCTTAGGCGAAAACAAATTAAACCACCAAGCATAAAGTCCAACTTTATAATGATAATTATATTTTTCTTGACGTGTTAGAATGGAAATAGATATAAATTCTTCGTGCATTATTGTATAATAATGCACGTTTTTCGTTCAAATGCTTTGTAATTAATCACTCAGGCCTATCGGCCTTCGTGATTATATTACTACGCATTTGAACTCAAACCGTGCATTATTCTACAACAATGCACTCAGAATTGATATCTATTTCCTAAGTAACATCAAACAAAGATCATTAAAGAAACAGAACACTAAGTAGACGATTTTAGCATTTGTATTGTTTATACAAGGGATGGACAATTATGAAACTCGCAGGAAACTGAATGTTTGACACAAACTTCTTTAAAATACTTTATTTAAACTTTAAAATAGGTCTTTTGATATCAGACATACTGCAAAACTTAACAATTTCGTCCAACAATGTTTGCTATATTTAATAAAAATGATGAGGTCACAATAAACAAGTTAAAAATAACTTTAACATATAAGGTCAATTAGCACGAAAAACACGCTGTGGTCTAGTGGTTTCTATAATGGACCAAAATGATCGATTCCCGGCTGCGGCATACTAATTTTTGTGATCTTTCTGTGTATAATTTCAAGCTCATGACTTTCGCCCTTCAATATATATTTATACATACTAAAATATAGCTGAGATTAACTGATTTTTCTGATTTTAATATAAACACAAAACGTTTTATGCATGTTTTAGAGTCAGAAAACTATAATTAATTAACGACATATAAAATGATATTTATTATCTATCTCTAGGTACAACATCACGAACAACATCAAAGAACATCAATCTTAATGTCATACACAAAAATTGTGACAAACATTTCCCACTTTCAATCATTTCACGTCTCATTTCTTGGTATTATTGTATTTCTATTTCTTTTTTGTTATCCCGTGTTTCTATTTTTCTTAAATCAATTACTTCAAATTGGAATATTTTAAATGAAAAATAAAATTTGCGTTGGTATGCAAGGATATGCAGAATATTCCTGGCAAAATATATGAATTAAAACAATTAATTTAATTTCGGAAAAAATCAACACTTGATAATATTGTTGTGTAAAAGCCAAATCATCATTCTTTTTATTTTAATTCAACATAAAATGGTTAAATAGTTACTTTGATATGTTTTTAGTCTATAACTCGTATGTGAAACTTTTTTTGTAAAAAAATAATTTTTTGTTTTTTTTGTTCGGTATTTTTTGACAATCTCACGTGCTTTGTGTTGGACCATATTCTTAACTTTACTATCTCAATAGCCAAATGTTTATGCACTTGGTGATAAAGTAGGATTTTTATTTCTTTAATATTCAATTCTCCTTGTGGTGATAATTAAGTGTGGGAAATCTATATTTTTGCACTGCGCATGACTTTTTCCGTTTAATCGCATGCTGTACGTTTATAACGCACGTTTTATCGTGTTGTAACGTCAGATTTTAAAACACGAAATAAACGTGCGTTGACGCTGTTATAGCATAAAATTTTATGATATATATCTAATACAATTTTAAGTAATTTCGTATCTCAAACTAAACATTCTCACATCACATAAACCATTATTTTGTAACTATATATATTCATGTCATGTGTCATTTATGTATTATATGTTGTATTTGTATATTTAATATGGTGATGAGCTTTTTATGCTTAAACCAAGTAATAAAGTTTCTGTTCTGTTCTATATTTAATACAAAACACATACATTAAATCCTTGTGCTTGGACGGTATTTATCCAATTCTACATGTTTTACGTATGAGTTTTATTTTTCCGGGGCCAACTACTTGGGAAATTCAAATGCTCAGAACCGTTCGAAAATTCGAATTTGAATTGATTTAACAAAGCTTGACATTGGAGATTTATTAATTCAAGAGAAAAAAAATTAATAAATTACTCTGCCCAAGACAAAACATGACCCTCAGAAATTCCTAGAATGATTTCAGATTGACGGTAGAAAAAAGATCAGTGACATCAGAATCGTTTTTTTTTTCAAGCTAAGAATATCAGGCACTAAACATTATTCTCTTAAAGAAATATAAAGAGCATTATCAATATAAACATCAATAAAACAACATTTTCTCATAATCATTTTTGTGTTATTTTGTTTTGTAAGTTAGTTTGAGGGTTTAACTGAATGACATTTATTTGTTTACATTGGCAACTGTCCGTTTCTTAGAAAGGGCGGCAACCAAGATTAGCGGCGATGTCTATACGCCGTATTTCCGGCATTATTTGAATGCTGCTCGTCGTTATGCAATTGAGGCCCTCGAATAAATAATTTCAATAAAGGGGCCTAACACTTTGGCAAACAGGCCAAATCGTCATTTTTTGTTTGTTTATTTGGCCCTTTATACAGTTTATTATGCATAGGTAAAACCGGGCTATAACAAGAGCGCGTGACTATGTTAACACATGGTTTTAGTCCCGTTATAACATGGGCAAAAGAGGGCAAAATAGCCGATTTAATGCTATAAAGAGAAAATGCACGAATTCTCGTACTTTCAAAACAATTGATTGAGAATATTCCCAGTTTGGCGGCGCCAACTGTTCTCCCCCGATCCACTTTGTTTTTAAGGTAACATATTGTGTTCTCAAAAACTATAAAATTGCCAAATTACATGTTTAGCTCTTTATTTGTCACACTAACAAATCTGTCATTTGGTTTTATTAATAGTTCTGTCTTTCTTCAGAATTTACAGTATGTCTAATCTTAAAACTTTAAAGTTAAATAATTCTATATTTAATCGATAAACAACATAACTTCACGCTAGTTACTAATACGAACGAACAAAATGACACCAACTAGCCTTGTTGACAATTGTTCTCCTTTTTTGGTGAAAGTTTTAAACTTTTTGACCCTATAAGTCAAACACGTTTGTAAACAAACCACACGAAAATAACATTTATATTATAATTGTCAGTTAATTCATTTTATTCCAGAGATCTCTCATCAATCATAATAGATGTGTTTCAGACAAGACCACCTTGCTGTAACACGCAATGTTAGATGAAAATATAATCGTGACATGATTATCTTCTTTCATTGCAGATTCGAAGCGACATAGGCACTGATGTTGAAAAACAATGAAAACGCTGACACGACCAGGACAACTTTATCTGTACTTAATGGATTAATATATGTTTTTAATGGTGTATGTTTTGCATATATGTACTCAATAATCATGTCAAAAAACAAAAAAATAAAAGTGATATTCATATTTTAACAACAGTAACGCAGTTTTCGGGCACGTTCATGCTTTTTTTTTGGTCAAATTATTGCCGATTGATAATGAATTTGGTTCTTCTTTTAACCAAATTAGAATATTTTGATAAAATGAAAGCTTACAGCTAAATGATCATGATAAAATATTTTATGTAAAATGAAACATGTATGCCTTTAGTTTGATGTACGATAGATGAGACAATTAAGCTTGTTTTGACGACAAAATGATCATATTGCGAATTTTATCTACAGCCAAAGATTTGGCAATGCAAATAACTGGACTGTTTAATGACTTTTTGTCTCTTAAAAGAAAAGAAAAAGAAACGAAGAATGTTACCAACCCGCAGAATTCATTTGATCTTTGAAGAAAAAAAACAACAAACTAAAACAACAAAAAACACAACAACAAACATGAACACAACTACAAACAAGAAGGCCAAGATGGCCCTAAATTGCTAACCTAACCTAACCCATCGAACTCATCCCAGCAATTACCTAGACAAGTATCCTTACCAAGTTTCATGACAGTTTTAGAGTGTTAACAAGGTTTTTTTTCGATATTTGACCAGTGTGACCTAGTTTTTGACCCCAGGCAACCCATATCTGAACTTGATCTACAAGTAATCAAAACAAACTTTCTGACCAATTTCCAGGATAATTCGATCAAAACAGTGGCCACAACCATTGTTCGAACTCTTCCGAGCAATTACTTAGACAAGCATTTTGACCAAGGTTGATAATGATTGAGTAAAAAATGTGACCACTACAGTGTTAACAATGTTTTTCTATATTTGGGAGGATTGACCTAGTGTTTGACCCGTGGTGACCTATATTCTTACTTGACCTAGAAATCATAAAAACAAACTTTCAGATAAATTTCTAAGATATTTTGATCAAAACAGAAGCCACTCGAGTGTTAACAAGATTTCCTATTTTTTACTCCTGTGACCTAGTGTTTCCTCTGAGATTATCCATGTTCGAACAAAACCAAACAAACACATAGATAAGCATCCTGACAAAGTGTGATGACGATTGAGTAAAAATGTGACCACTTGAGTGTTATCAAGGTTTTTCCATAATTGGGCGGTGTGACCTAGTTTTTTTACCCTTTGAGTGTGGTAAGGAATACATGTATATCTTGTTAGCTAATGTAAGTATTATAACATTATCACAAATAACGCATTCATTTTCATTTCATACCATTTGCTTTTATAAAGTGTTCTGATGTTTGCATTTTCATTTAATCGCAATTTAAAATTTACATTTAGCCAGTTTTAATTAATTTGTTGTCACCCAATGATTTTATCTTATTGTAATATCTATAGAAAAAAATTAAAATTGTACAATTGTACACATTTATAAAATAAAATGGTTACTTTTCTTTCATTTAGTAACAATGGCATACAGTAAGACGGTTATGGGATATATAATACAACTTCTTCTGAATCTATTTGCTGAATTACAATTGTTTGTCGAACAGATATCATAACACAGTTCTGTATTTGTATCCGACTGATTGATACACCCTGAACTTGTCCAAAGTCCTGTACACCCACGGAGAAATTGGATGATTGAACCTGTAATCAAATAACTGGATATTAAAGTTCAAATAAATAGCACATGCAACACTTTTCTTCTTGTAAATGTAATACTCCACATATAAGTGTAGCATTAATATAGTTTGCAGAAAAAAACTAAGTAGAAATAAATATGGACTCATTATGGTGAGATATGTTCAAAGATTGTTTTTAGATGAAACGAAATGACACGAAATAACACGTGGCTGTTGGTAATCAAGAAATTTTAGTCATTGATCGTGCATATTATACACCCCAAGTCACATATTTGCGTACATTAATATTCCCGTAACATTGCTAACATTTCAACAGGTGTGATCTTTCATTTAAAGCAATGTTTCAAGCGATATATATTATTTACGCTCATTTTAATGCACATTTTTTACATCTCGTCACAAGAAATAAAATGGCAATGCAGTTTTATTTTGAGAAAATAAAAGACACATTTATTGCTTTTGAAGAATTTCTTAAGGTCACATTTCACTGTTATATAATTGAGTTATAGTATGAAATAAGGTTTGAACCTGACGAGTTTGTGATCTTTGCTATCATACAATTCATTGGTCCTTTCCTCTGTCGATATTTACTACAAGGCTCGGCAGGTGAAGGTGTAACTGCACATCCTTCTTTACCATTTGATAAACAATGAGAACATTGCAATTCTCCGAATACATCTGGAATATATAATACCACGACCATAAACGTCTGTTATTTTAATAAAGCGACAGATAGCAAACAGTTTCAAAACATTCGGTCAAAATATAATAAAAATTATTGTTTTCTTTGTAATATAATGCTAACGAAAAATATAGCAATGAACGAAACACAAAAAAAGTCTCAGTAACTGATTGTGGCCGAACAATTTTCAATTTTACCTATCTGATAAGTTCAATAATTTCATGATGTTGTTTGTAATAAGCAATGTTTGATTTTATTTTTGTCACTTTAACGTAAATGTTATTGTATAATACAGATCATTCCATATTATATGTTACAATTATTTTTTTCTCTTGTCAAGTTGTCTTGTTTAAATGAATTGTAAGTTTGTAAAGTAAGCATAAATAGTTTACCTTTTAAAACAGTCGATAGAACACAATAAAATAATATCCGTTCATTTAATTCCATAGTTTATTAAGAACTGTTAATAATCTACTACATTCAACTATCTTCTTCTAACATGTTACTAAATGAATATCGCATAGAATTTGACAGCCCGAACATTTCCGATATCCAAAGAAATAAGTGAATCAAATACAGCTAACGACAGGGAAAAAAAACTCCAATACATAGTATTAAAACAGCATGTACAATTACATCGTGGATCAAGATGTTTTTATATTTGTAAAATAAAACACACGATAAAAAACCTTCGAACATAAAATAAAAAGTTTGTTTATATAAAAACACTTATTCATGCGATATTTTTTAAAAAAATGTTCATATATACAATCTTTTATAATGTTATTTCCAACCTAAATGTTATAACTTTATATTTCTTCTTCTCATAAAAAAATCGATATCATATTAATCGATTTGTTATTAAATGAATACTTTTAAAGAGGTTCACCAAGACATTTTCTAAAGAAATCTTGAGGACTTACACAGCTGGCTTGTGACGTTCAAAATATAAAAATGAACAAAGTAATCTCGGAAGCAAATGACTCCTATGGGAATGATATAAAGATGTCTGTGTATATATCCAGTTAATCAGTAAAGATTGCTTTTTTGATAAAGATATTCCTTCTTTCAGACACTTTGCTTTTACATCATAAGGCTATTGTGGACAAATTAAAAGGGCATTGCGGTGCTGACCTTTGAAACAAAACCATTCGTCTGAGACAAATATGTCGTTAACAATAGAGTATATGTTTGTGTGCTGGCAAGCTATGCACTGATTGTTATATTTTGTCGGCATTGTATATATGCACGCCGTTACTAATTATACAGTATTAACTGAAAAAGAACAAAAAAAGTTTTGACTGAAAAAGAACCAAAAAAAAAAAAAAAAAAAAAAAAAAAAACCAACAAACTGTTTGATCTTTCGGAGCATAAATAACAATAAAACATTATAAACATTGCAGACTCTGTTTGATTAGTCTGTACATGAGGAATAATGAAAAAGTGCAATATTCCTCATGCCACTTACCGGCTTAAGCGGTACTCAATTTATACACTTGTTTGGATCAATAAAATATAATACGTGTTTAAACAACACAGCACTTGATACCCGCTGTTGCGTAGAAAAAAATCTGGACAAAGTGTGATCTTTCGAAAACTTTAATCCTTACAAAATTACATGAACATTGCCGTCTTGGTTTGGTCGATTTTTACATTAGAATAATGAAAAAGTTCAATATCCCTCACGACCCCTAGCAAAGGAATGATAAAATCAAGAAACAATGAATCACCCTAAAAACACGCAAATTTAAACGGTTGTATATCACGTAGGGCACAAACTGGGCGCAATTTAACGACACACTTGCCATTTGTTACAAGCGTAACACTAAGTAACACCTATGTAACGCATGTAAATTCAGTAACATTTGTAACAAGTTTACTTGAATTTCTTCCCTTGCATATTGACACAATTTTGTGCCTTAATTTTTCATTTCAATCCAAACTCTCGTAACACTTGTAACAATGCTGTAACAACTATGTAACAGTTATAGAACAGTATTATTTATTTATTTATTACAATAAATGGAAACGGATTCCCTTAAGAAAGTAAAAACAGCAAAATTAAGAATGGAACATGAGCCTGCCCGTAATAAGTCCAGTAAAAATCGTTGAAGAGAAATTTGAATTTTTTTTTTTTTACAAAACAAAGGCTGAAAGTGAGTCATTATTACTTAACAATTGCATGAGTGCGTTTTCGATAGATCCCTGCATTTTCTGGCATGATATCCGTCTTTATATGCTTTAGAAAAAAATTTTTTATAAAAACAAAAAATAAAAAAATTTGTATTAAAATAAAACCATTTTTTCTTTCTTTAAATTACTTAATATCATCATTGGGGGCGAGAGACTTAATGTGTTTAAAACCAAGTATTTTTAAATTGGGAATTTCTCCTTGTTTTGTTAGAATTATCATTTATTGGAAAAAAACCCTTCTGTTTCTAAACGAAAAAAATTTCAATTTAAAAAATATATTTTAAATTACTAAATGTTTACTTTTAAAAAGAAAGGGACTTTGAGACTCGATTTTGACTAGTAAATTAATTTGCCCTTTAGTAAATTTCCATTTTTTTTGTATTTTTAATTTGACCCTACGTTTTTTGGTTAAAAATGAGAAAATATTTAGTTTTTAAAAATTTATTACGTTTTTTTAAAAAGTGAACTGAGGGTTTTTTTTCAAATTTGCAAAATCTCAAACCCAAACCTTTCTTTTAAATGTTAATATCCCAGTTAGAATAGGCCCCAAACTGAATATTGTTCTTGAAACAAAACCCCCCTATTTTTATTTTTTAAAAAAAAAAAATAAAATTCAAGTTTATAGTTATTTTTCATTAATTAAAACATCCAATTTTTTCATAATTTATTTATCATTTGATGTAATTTCTTTTCTAGAATAATTAGAAATTCCCCATTAGTGATCTTAAATGTTGATAAAATTACAAATTTAAAACCCCATCAACCTTTTATATACAGATGGGAAACAATACGATGTGCTGTCATACATTCAATAAAATAACAAATTTACCACACAAAACATGTACCTATAACTATGATCCCTGGTTTGCATAGTATTGACGTCTAAAAGATTGTCTTGACTTTTATTGTGAAGACATAAAGAAGATGTGTGCATTAAAACAACCAACATAATGAACGGAAATAATTAAGAATGATAAACTTTCGAATGTATTTATACTGAATACATATTCGGATTATAAACTAATTTAGTTTTCATCTGAGACCTTTTTAGACTACTGTTAACGAACTTCATTCACAATGCAATCTCTTTTTACAAAGGCATGTACATTTTTGTACTAGTTAACTAGGAGGCGAAAATGAAACCTTGGAAAAGGCCTAACCAAGGTGCCAACAGGGACATGTAATGCGTTAAACATTGATCATATCAGTTGAACAGAATTTCAATGTAAAAAAAATGTTTGCAACAAACAAAGGATAACGTATAAATGATTTTGCAAATGATTTTGCTAATGATGAAGTCTTAAAATGACATTAATGAACGTAAAATTGAATAAGTGATGCTCGTCATCTTCTGAAAAAAGTTGTCTAATTAAACTAATAAATCTAAGCCTCCAATGATTGAGATTTTTGTTTTTCAGCACACGTTTATTTTATTAATAAGAATTAACATAACAAATACTATATTAAGGAGGAAAAATTAGAAATGTCGTTACATTCTTTCATATATGTAATTATTATATCTTAAAGTATCCTTTAATTCCATCATCTATATCTTTAGTACTTAAAGAAAAGCTACAGATAAATTTAACCCAGAGCAATTCATAACAAGAATAAACTGAAAAGACTTACATTTTTTTACTGATTCAATTATGCTTGATGTATTACAGATCTACATGAACAATGTTGTCTTCAATGAATATGGCAACGTAAACTTAAACACAAGATTTTAAACATACATTTTGGCAATGTTTATGGTATGGACTGTATCGTTGTCAGTGAAATTGATAGACTATACTTAAGATAAGCAGTGTTTATCGGCTATTTAACACCGGTTTGGAGTTTTGATGCGTAGGAGTTGACCACGAAGGCCGTAGGCCTGAGTGGTTAACTTTTTCGCATCAAATAGCCGATAAACACCGCTAAGACCGATATTATTACGATTCTAACACGATAAAATGAGGAAGATCACTTATGTTATTTTTCAAGCGGACACGTCCGGTACCGATTTTCTTATAACGCTACCTACTGTTGCTAAATATAGACATTATCAAACAAAATAAATAATGAGAAAAAAAGTTATTTTATAGACAAAGTTTGGTGATCATCCATCAATAAGTTCTGTAGAAGAAGATTTTCAAAGATTTTTTCTATTTTTAGCTCTTGAGACCCCTAAAAGGGGCCTATCAAATTAATTTGAGCACATTTGATACAAGCCTACCTAAGAATGCTACAGACAAATTTTGGTGATCATCCATCATTTAATTTAGTAGAAGATGTTTTTTTCTCCACTTTTAGCTCTAGAGACCCCTTAAAGGTGGCAATTGAAATGGCATGAGCAAATTCAAGTGTGACTGTCACAAGGATGCTACCGACCAAATTTGCGGTAAATCTGCTCATCAAATTTAGAATAAGATGATTGTTGCTGTTTGACGACGGACGCCAAAGTATCCCCTTTGATACTAATAGCTCATCCTGAATCTTCGATTACAGTGAGCTGATAAACTTGTATATCCAGTTACGCAGGAATGTGCAAATAACACAGGAATGTGCAAAAGTAACGCAGAATTATACAATTTAGTTGCTAAAACGAGCACTGCGATAGGTAAATGGACCAATATTTTTTTATTGAACACCAAATTGGAAGAAATGAATTAGCGCATACAGTTGCTGAGACATAATACTTTAAATCTCTTCAAAAATATTTCCATGAAAATGTTTATTTTCTTGGCGATTTTTAGTTTGGTTGATATCTTTAAATACAATAATATACATATTACTTTATGATTTTTTTTATATCCGGTGTACCTGAGACATTTTATAATCACTTATGTCATATTTCACTTAAAATGTTTCATTTCTGATTCGGTCTTTTATTTGATATTGATACCTGCTTGTCATCTTATTTTGTCAATTCAAAATATTTTGTCTTCACTTAAAGTTTTTATATTTATCAAACTTCATGAAATTATCTGTTGATTTTGTATCAATAACTATTGTATTGCTATTTTTTATATTTAAAAGACAAGAAAACTATCAAACATGGGGAAATGATAATCGTGTAATGGAGTGCAATAAACTGTAATTAGTCCATGTTATCAAATGTATTCGATTACTTGTCAAAGTCAATAACATTTATATGCTTTTTCTTCAAGAAAACGAAAGTGATGAACAAAAAAAGACATGTGATAAATGTGGTCACTTCCTAACAAATCCTCTGGTAAAACGTGGATTGATACCACCGAGTCTTGAAGACATACTATTGCCTCCACCAGTAAGGTCCGCCGAAGTTCAAGGAAGCAGAG